TTTGAACATGCTCAAAACAATCGCCGCGTTTCTTTTTGCTGCGAGCACAGTTAAGAAAAATTACACACTATCTAAAGATGATCGCCGAATTACTGCGATTTTTTAACTTGTACTTTGTCGTAGCCAAAAATCGTGACAGCGTGAAACGGGCTTTATGGACTGTCTAGAAGGGAGACATCACCAATTATCAGGTCTGAGTAGGATTTTCACCCGAGGGCGCCTTCATAATTATACAGTCAATCTGATTGGTTTAGAGCATGACACCTGAGGTGTGACAATTGGTGATGTCTCCCTCACGCGCAGGGTGACAACTGTTGTCACCCTTCAGATGAAAATGAAATAGAGAAGCGAGCAGGGCAGGGTTACAGCTGTGTTGTCGCCCTTTAAATGAAAATACAAGGGTTTAAGCAAGGAAACTCTTATTTATAATTATGCATGTACATCTATTGCTAAATACATGTATATGCGGGATCGGTAAACAATAAATTCCAAAGACGACGTCAAAGTTTTCTGTTGACATATTTTGAAAGTATGGACTAGAGCAGAGAAGGAGAACACAAGAAGTTTGATAATTATTTTCTTCTCTATTTAATTGATAATTTAGATTCCTCAGGATAGTAAAACTATTGTGGACTGTTGAGAAGGGAGACAACACCAAATATAAGGTCTGAGTCTGGTTTCAACCTCGGCCGCAAGCGGCCACGGGTGACAACCTTACTCAGACCTGATAACTGGTGATGTCTCCCTTCTAAACAGTATCAGGCACAAGCGCCCTCTGGTGACAACCCTACTCAGAGCTGATAAATGGTGATGTCTCCCTCCTGCAACAGTCCTTAATTGTATATGTACATTATATTAGGCTATAATGTAACGTTCTTATGATATTTTAAGAAATTGAAACGCTATCATTTTTCCTACTCACCAGTTCGCACTGCAAAAAATACCCATCAGGGAACGTGTTGCCCTCCCTTATCAGTTCGTATATCCCTGACGATTTGTAACTTGTGCCCAACAAACCTTTTGGAGGCTTCCAATAAAAAATACAACGCAAATGAAAAATAAACAAGATGTTCATGGGCCACAGTGCTCACCTGAGTAAATTCATCTTTACCAGATTCCCCCTTTGTAATACCTCATGTGTCCCCGGCCTACCCCCGGTGATCGTAATTTGACCAATTTAGAATCTACAATGGCAAAAGGTGCTTCCATATAAATTTAAGTTTTTCTAGCCCAGTGGTTCTTGAGAAGAAGATTTTAAAGAGTTTTCCTTTATATTTCAATGTAAAACTTGGATCACCTATTGTGACCCTCGCCTATCCCGGGGTCATGATACGAGCAATTTAGAATGTACACTACCCAAGGGTCGCCTGCATGGCGCAGTGGTTAGAGCGTCTGCTCTAGAGTCACGAAATAAGGAGTCGACCTTTATGTCGCGGGTTTGAATCCGACTGTAGGACGTGGAGGCCGGTCCTTCGGATGAGACAGTATAAACCGAGGTCCTATGTCACAGTAGGTGCTGGCACGAAAAAGACCCCTCCCTGCTCAAAGGCCCCGAGAAACAAAATTTGCACAACTCTCCATCGGCAAAAGGTGGCGTCTCCATATGAGTGAAAAATTCTCGAGAGGGACGTTAAACAGAATACAATCAATCAATCACTACCCAAGGATGCTTCCAAATAAAATTCAGCCTTTCTGGCCCAGTGTTTTTAGAGAAGATTTTTAATGAGTTTTCCTTTCTCGTAAAACTTGAATTCCTTTACTGTGGTCCCGCCTTATCCCTAGGGGTCATGTTTTGACCAATTTAGAATCTACCCTACTCAAGGATGCTGCCATATAAGTGTTCTCGAGAAGATTTCAAAAGAATTTTATAAATTTCTACGTAAAACCTCGATTTCTTATTGTGGCTCCGCCCTACACTCTGGGGGTCATGATTTGAAAAATTAGGAATCTACACTACCGAATGATGCTTGCACATAAGTTTAAGCTTTTGTGGCCCAGTGGTTCTTGCAAAGATTTGTTAATGAAACCACCGTATTTTTGTTATTTCTTGATTACTAGTATCTCCCCTTGTAGGAGGGACATGGCCTTCATTTTAACTCCCCCCTTAAAGTAAGCATTCTTAGTACCAAGTTTGGTTAAAATTAACCTTAGTGGTTCTTGAGAAGAAGTTGAAAATGTCGAAAGTTTACAGACAGACGGACCAACAGACAGACGGACGGATGATGGACAATTGGTGATCAGAAGAGCTCACCTCTGAGCTTTGGTGAGCAAATATCGTGTTGCCGTGTGAAAAAAAAACCTTGTTCAAAGTTGTTTAGATAATCAAAAATTTATGTTTTACTTGGAAGGTACATGTTGTAATTAATGGGAGAGAGAGAGAGAGAGTCACCATTATCCCGGTTACTTCATATATGATGTTTTCAACAGCATACTCTAGTTGAGAAGAAATGCTCTTTGCTTCAGAAGTACTGCATCCACTGATGAGAAGTTCAAGTTCGTAGGATTCGGGATGTGTGAGGTCATTCAGAACATCAGACACTTTGCCTGTTGGCTGATTCCATTTCCAAAAAGATCAGAGTAGATTGAATGAAAAAAAATATATTTAATTCATGAAATGTTGCATAAAATGTAAGCGACTTACGTTCAGGTAGAGCCTATGAAGTTCTGCCAAAGTGGACTTGATGACCCCATGAAAATGGCGAAGACTTAACGCTCTGGAGATGTTTCTCTGAAATTTACCCCAAACATACATTTCATTTTTACTAATTGTCTTCTTGCTGGATGGATATAAAGACTGTCCTTCATCATTACAAGCCTCTCTCAACATTTTCTAAATCTATATCTTTTCCATTCTTAGTCTCGCTATTTTTGTCACTTGTTTCATATATCTCCATATGTTTCATTTCACAAAAATCTATAGACAAATTACAGACAGACACATACCGGATACGCTATATTAAGAAATATTTCAATAAAGAAATGGGATGAAAAGTGTTGAAACCTTCTTGAGTTAATCAGATCTAGAGTTCTACTAAAATCAGAAATGTCAGGCACGTGTTTATACTTACGTCATCTTGAACAGCGGGTGAACTCCTCTCTCTATTAAAAAGATGTAGAGCTAATGTGGTACTAAACATGTAATCACCGTTATTTCAATAAATACCGCGTCTCTCTATATCTCTCTCACGCATACATACCCATTCACTTACCACACACACACACACAAACTTACGTGGTGGTACTAGCCCCACTGCCCATGATCTTCATCTGTTCATATAACACCCAGCGTTGTGATTGAGAAGTGTTCAATTTCCAGTGTTTACTTTTTGTTTGGTAAATTGAAAATTTCTACTTAATAAAGAAACAAAAAATGAGAAATTTGCTTGTGCGAATGCACATCACTTAAAATAGACTTCGCAGAAAAATATGTACAAAAAAACAAAACAAAAAAAAAAAAAAAAAAAAAAAAAAAAACAGCTTACCGTTTATGAAGTTTAGGAAATCAATAGTTCATGTTGGTTACTTTGTGTTCAAATGTACCTCGCTTTGTCGTTTATGAAAACAATCAAAATTAAACCTTTCGATGCGCTTGTCATGTTTTCTATTCATCTAAAATCGCTCTACTGTGGTTTTCGCTGTTAATGAATTTAAAATGTTCACTGTTAAATTATTTTTATTTTATTGTTAGATTATCGTAAAGCATGGCTGTGTATAGGATCAAATTATGTCTGATGAAACTTTTGAAAAGAAAATCACGACTGAAAAAGATGAATTAATGCTCAATTAATAGATTTATATAAGCCTAGCTAACACATGGAAAAATATCTTCACCATTAACGTGAAAGAACTTAAAGTAATTTATAGCAATTCATCAGGATTATTTATAGAAGTACATTGGCTTAAAAACAAGACTACAAAAGAAGATTCACATTTAAAAAATAGCAATGCTTAGCGAAGCATCATTTCGCATCGGGGCAGAACTTCACACTCAGGTAGTGTCTTCACACTCCGAGGTAGTGGCAGTGTATTCTAGAGGGACGTTAAAAAAGATAAAATCTTCTTGTTATAAAGGGAACCCAGTAATACTTCATAAAGTTTGAAATAAAGTAAAGAAAGTAAAATGTATTGCAGCACTAACAAGCAAATTCAAAGAATTGTGGTCCCCCGCTTTCGGTGTCTTAGTGGGTGAGGTGTCATTTTTATGATATATTTTGTTAAATATGAACGCCCTATCATATGTCAATCAGAAATTATCACCTAAGTTGAATTTTATAAAATAAGGTCAATGGTCAAGGCCAAGGGGTTAAAAATCATGGCATTTTCGGAAATATCTTGTCACAGGTAATGCACATGTCAAATATGAAATCCCTATCTCTTCTCAATCAAAAGTTATAAGGAACAAGATGTGTTTGTGAAACACTGATGCCCCCGTATGACAACATAGCGAAGATTAAACTTTTTCTTAAATGCAAATTAAATATGTTGGTACCCATAGTAGGGTCTTCTCACAAGAAATATGATTGTAAAATATGAAAGCCCAAGCACCACCTGTTGAAACGTTATGGACAAGGATAATTTTTTTGAAAGTTAGGTCAAACTCCAAGGTAAAAGGGTCAAAGTTGTCGGTTTCTTAAGAAAGGTCTTGTCACAAATATTACAAAAGTGAAGTATGAATGAAAGCCCTAGCCATTACTGTTAAAATGTTATGGCCAAGGTTAAAATTTTCAAAAAGTAGGTCAAACTCCAGGGTCAAAATTCTTGATATTTAATGAACGGTCTTGTCAAAAGAATTAAATATGTAAAGTATAAAACTCCTAGCCCTTCTTAAGTTATAGTAAAGGTTTGTTTTTTAAAAGTAGGTCAAACTCAAGGGGTCAAAGTTGTTGGTATCCAATGAAAGAAATTCTCACAAGGATTACATATGTTAAGTGTGAAAGCCGTAGCCATTACCATTCAAAAGTTATGGACAAGGATAAAGTTTTTAAAAAGTAATTCAAACTCCAAGGTCAAAGTTCTTGATATCCAATGAAAGGTCTTTTCAAAAGAATTAATAAAAGAACAAGATGTGTTTGTAAAACACTGATGCCCCCGTATGGCAACATAAGGTTTAGCTTTCTCAAATGCAGATCAAATATGTTGATATCTAAAGCAAGGCTTTTTCACAAGAAAATCAAAAGTGAAATATAAAACCCCAGCACCACCTGTTCAAAAGTTATGGCCAAGGTTAAAGTTTGTAAAAAGTACATTGTAGGTCAAATACTAAGGTCAAAGTCAAAGGGTCAAATGTTTTGATATCCAATGAAAGGCCTTGTCACAAGAATTAAATTTGTGAAGTATGAAAGTCCTAGCACCCTCCGTTTAAAAGTTATGGCCCAGGTTAAAATTTTTTCTTTCGTCAGTACGGAAATCTCAAAGTTCAAGATCAAAAGGTCAAAAGTGTTCATTTAAAATGAAAGGTCTTGCCATAAAGAATTGATAAATTAATATTTGAAATATGAAATTCCTTGTATATACCGTTTTAAAATTAAGGTCAAAGTAAATGTTTGGATTTTTTGTGTAAAAATGGGTCAAACTTAAAGGTCAAGGACAAAGGGTCAATGTTATTGATACCAGATGAAAGCTCTTGTCACAAGGATTAAATATGTGAAGTATTAAAACCCTAGACATAATCCTTCAAAAATTATGGTCAAGGCTGTCAAACTCCAAGGTCAAGGTGTCAAATTCTTTGGTATCCAATGAAGCGTCTTTTCACAAGGACTACATATGTGAAGTATGAAAGCCCAACCCTTTACCGTTCAAAAATATGGCCAAGGTTAAAGTTTTTCATACGTACGGAGATCTCCAAGATCAAGGTCCCAAGGTCAAAGTTGTTGGTATTCAATGAAAGGTCTTTACAAAAAAATACATAGTTGAAGTATATAAGTCCTGGTATTTACTGTTCAAAAGATATGGCCAGAGTAAAAGTTAAGAATTTTTTTTGTAAAAGTGGGTCAAACTCCAAGGTTAAAAGATCAAATTTGGTGATACCCAAAGGTCTTGTCACAAGGAATATACATGTGAAATATGAAAGTCACAGGTCCACTAAATCAAAAATTATCGGCAAGGTTAAAGTTTTTGCGGACAAACAGACAAACCAACAGACAGAGAGTCAGCTAGACAGACAGACGGACGGACACGACAACAACTATATACCCATGAAACTTCGTTTATAGGGGCATAATGAAGTTGTAACTGTAAAGTAAGTTTACATTTCTTTTGGAAAAAAATCTTACAAATAATGTTTCACATGCATAAAAAAAATTACATGAAGCTGTAAATAGCATCATATGTACATGATGTATGTGCTAAATAATAGAGAAGTTACATCTTATGGACTAAAGAACCGGGGGAGGGGTATTTTGCTTAGTTGTGCCCTAAAACTGAAAATGATATCGCGAGTTCGGATCAGGAGTAACCTATTTGCAACAGGTTCACGCAGTTTACTTGCGTAAAAAGAAAGATAACTCTTATTATATATTATAAATTAACTTATGATTTATACTCTGTCAATAGTCTACACGAACTCCTAAATCGAACCACAGGGGCATCTTATCCACTCTGTTCTCCACTTCACATGCATGCATTTTTATATGTGAAGTAGAGAACAGGAGATATGATGCCCCTGTGATCAAACCCTTCTTTGGTTCCTTATACATTTCGCTTTTGGACTCTGCGACCGTGTACAGGTACATGTAGTTGGAGCTAATGTTTTCTTTTCACCCTCTGTGACCCTCACAATTTTCATGATATAAAAAATGCATAAAGAGCAAGAGCCACTTTGTGCCTTATTTGGCCCTGAGAATTTCTGAAAAATCCAAACCGCTCAGTTTAGGTTGCAAATGCAGTATATATCACTTGAAGTGTTGGTGACCAAGTATCTATTAACCATGACGTAATATTTTCCCTTTAGTCGATGCATTATGACGTCATACAATACGTCATTTTCCTTATATCCTGTAAATTCGCAAATCGCTGCTCTTTCTGTAAGCCCCGCCCCTTTTCATAAATTACTTCACGGATGCTGAGGTTAGACAAGCATCTCCATATAAACATGGCTGCAAAGAGTCAAGATCAACACGTTTTTGCAGTTTTATTCGACTTACCTAAGGATATATCCAAAAATTATATAGATGGAGAAATTTCACTGAAAGCAAGGCAGCAAGGCTTTAAGTATTATTGTGAGAATTATTTCGAGAGGGTGAAATTGTATAAAAGCGACAAGGAGAATGAAGTCCGAATTTCCGCAAAATGTCACCGCTCCCAACGGAAAAATGACTCTCCGCATTCTATTAATCTAGACGTATCGCCAGGATCCTTGGATTTGGCGCATTGTTCATGCATAGCTGGGTATGTTTTGTTTTAGAATTTGATGCTTATGATTTACAATGAATATTCCGATATCTTTGCTGTGAAAATCGTAAAATGAAACCCGACACTCGTTTTTTTTTCAGAGCCAGTGGGTCATGTTCTCACATTATTGGCTTGTTGATGGCTCTTCAGCATTGAATTCCGATGGGTTTTAAAGCAGTCCCTGATAATCTAACATGTACTAGTTTGCCCCAGCAGTGGTCTGTGCCAAGAGGAAGCAAGATTGAAAATTCTGCTGCTCCCCAAATTTGCATTATTAAACCCCACCCTGATAGAAAACAGAAACCTGTAGAAAATGTTTTGACAGAATGCAGGTAACCAAAAATATCATTAAAACCTTATAAATTAAATAACATTACTATTAGTATTAGCAACAATTAAAATTTGTAATTTCTACATGTATGTATTTATAATCTAATTTTTAAAGTTGCTTGATTAAAATTCATTACCAGGGTACATTGTATTTTTAGGAAGATTTATGTGAATGGGGAAGATGTTGACCATTTAAAAGCCTTAAAAGGATTGCCAATCAGTTACTTGGTGTCAAATCCCATGAAGAGGAAAATGACCCATTTGGGTGAAGTTGGAATAGGAAGTGGTCGAAGCACACATGTAAGTTTTGTACTATAATTTAGATTATTTCTCTCTTCCTCTCTCTCTCTCTCTCTCTCTCTCTCTCTCTCTCTCTCTCTATTTCTCAGGCAGAACAAATATTTTAGTACTATAATTAAGTCAATATTTTAATACTTTATCATATGTGATATACCGGTACATCATGTAATTAAATTTCATCAAATAAAAACAATATTGCATGTATGCATATACATGTACCGGTAAACATGAATAAAATATATAATATATACACTACATACTGAGGGTAATGCGTTTAGTCAAGAAAATACCCCATTACATGTATGAAATGCAGGTTAACTGGTTAATATTTATTTTTAAAAAAATTAAAAGCTTTGACTTAATTAGGTTTTGTTTTTAATGCAAGGAAGAAAAAAAATTGAAAGCATAGCACAGACATACCATATTTGGTTAATCAAAGTAAATAAAGAGAGTTTGAATTTTCCAGATAAAATTTTAAAACGTTTGATTCTCTCAATAGCTCTTTCAACGTGAACTCTATGTTTAGCTATTTTCTTGGTTAGTAAAGCATCACTCTTGGTCATTTGTTTTCCAATGGTTGCAAAGGGTGGTATGTTTAATTGCAGCCCACATTTCTTTACTTCCTCTTCAATGTTAAATCCTTTATCTGCCATGAGTCCATCTCCTTGGAGTAGGTAACCCTCATCCAACAAGTCTTTGAGCATGTCTTCAAACTTCGATCGAACAAAAATATCCTTGTCAGATATACCGCCACTAAGTAACATGGAAGCAAATGTAACTGAACCCCTTGGATCACACACTACTAAACCTTTCATAGTATTGCAGCTTTTATAGTCACTGTAGGTTTGTGATTGGGCCTTAAGAGATGATGGTTTGTTGATTTTTATTTCTGTGCAGTCAAGAATACCAAAAGTTGTCGGAAATTCTTCTTTAAATTTGGGTGGCATATTTTCTTTGATGACATTTCTGTGAGGCCAGATGGAAAGCTCTCCAAATCTCAAAAACATGTAATTGATCCAGTGCGTAAAAATAACACTTGTTGTCTGTTTACTAATTTTAAATCGAAAAGCCAAGTCAGAATAATGAAAATCATGTCTCAATTTCATAATTGTTAAAAATAATTGACTTTTCAAATTCAATGCTATTACTTCTTTTGATCTGTTTGATGGAAACTGTATTCAATTTGGTATAACTTGATCATTTGGTATCAAAAAAATATATACTCCAAGAAACTGATCAGGTGTTAAACCTGTGTAATATTTGAATTGTTTTGCATCACCAATGATGACATCAACATTAAATTCCTGTGAAAGTTCAGCTTGCAATTTTACATTTTTTTTTGTGTGTAAGTCTTCTTATGAAGTTGATCATATGCTCCATATACAGTCTGAAGTTTACCATTTAAGCTTCTATTTTCCTCCAAAATGTTCTTGTTTTCAGCAGCCAGTAGTAAAACATCCATAGGTTCAACCCCTGGAATAAATTGCAAATAAAATGTATTTACATGTATTAGTTTTTCATAATGCAATGCAGCATTTTCATTTAATTTTTTTTTACAGGCATCCTTCTATGAACCACAAGTACAAAAGGCAGTGGATACAAAATGTGGAGATCTAAAATTGCCCTATATCTGTCCAGTTTTACTACCATATAAATATAAACATTTATCAGAATCTCTAGCAATAGACTTGAACAAAGCTCATGAAATTCAAGAGTAAACACAAGAACAATATAATTCACAGAGATGGCATTTAGAGAGAAAAACACGACTAACGGCATCCAAATTTTACGAAATTTTACACAGGAAAACTATTTCTTTGAAGTATGTCAAAAGTATTTTAGAACCAAAAGCATTTAAGTCTACTTCCACGTCATACGGAATTTCCAATGAAAAGAAAGCCAGAGAAATGTATGTTAAAAGACAGGGATTGCATGTACATGACTGCGGACTGTGCATTAATCCAGAATTGCCATTTCTAGGGGCAACTCCAGATGGAATTGTCTGTGATGGAGGTGTAAGTGGAATTGTTGAAATTAAGTGCCCCTACTCTGCTCGAGACTTGACCATTCAAGAATCTCTTTCCCTTCCCAATTTTTGTTTACTTGAAACTGATGGAAAAATTACTTTGAAAAAATCTCACGCCTTCTATTTCCAAGTTCAAGGACAACTTCTGGTCACCGGTGTTTCTTTTTGTGATTTCATTGTATTTACTCGAAAAGAATTACATGTCGAAAGAATATAATTATCCTAATGTTCATTTTATGAAAGAACTTGTCTCAAATTTAACTGAAATATACTTCTGTCATTTTCATGATTTAATTGAACAAACTGTTGTCTGCATCTATGTTGGGTATTGTTCATAAATCAAAATGGCATCATGCACTTACATTTTTCCTCAGTTTGAGAGCAAGTTGACACACCAGTGGCAGTAACATGCTGAGAAGATTCTTCACATTGATTATCAGGGTCTTCATGATTTTCTGATTCACTGAAATTACAGAACAAAGGTCACTGCAAATTTGATCTACCAACAAAATGTTTCACATATATCAACACAAAACTATAGGCATTGCTGCTCTATAAAAGACCAGGAGGCAATAAACTACAAGTGAAATATAAAAGTTACAATTAAAAAAAAAGCTGTTTTTTTTTTATTTTAATATTTTTTTTTCTGTATAAAATTTGCATGGAAATAATATATACTAATGATTTAATTTTACCTTGACTGTTTGTTGAAGATTCCCCTGTTCCTTGGAGGGGGTCTAGATGGCTTGGATGTGCTGGAAGTCAGAGGAATGGGGTCAGGATATGTTGGTGTAGGACCACAGCCATTCATAAAGTGCTGCAATCAAATATAGCATGACTCTTAACCATGTTACCAAACAATTTTTCAGATAAACACATAGGCCTATTCTCAATTATTCTTTAGGAGTTCAAAGATATACGTATAAACAGGGATCTACCAAATATGTATATAGGTACTGACAAAATTACTTAAGTGAAATCGTATGCAAAATTTTCACTTCTCGAGGGTTATGATGTGAAATGCATGTTAACCTCTTTAATACACTATAAAACACATTTTATTCAGGCAGTAGCCCCGGCATGTGCGATATATTTTAAAATAATTGGGGACATGACAGACGATGTTCAAAAACAGCAAAGGAAATTCTGGCCGATTTTGCTAACAATTAACATATTGGCTTATGCGTAACTTCTGTTTAAATACGCAAAATCATTTATAAGAGCGTAAATTTGTATGCTACGATCAATATTAACAACATAATTGAACATACCTTGGAGCAGACATAAGTGTTTTTTGTTATGCTGTCGACGTTGAGTTGTTTGTGGGGACGATTACACGCCTTGATCCACCGTCGACATTTGTCAATATTTGTTTTAGGTTTAGGGAATGGGTAAAATATCACCCCCTCATTCCGGGCCGGATACCGACTGTCACTGTTGCAAAGTCCGAATGCACATCTTTTAACCATAACAATCGTATGAATGTGTTGATCTACTGTACAGTAGTCTAACCTTCCGCCACGCAACTATTGGTGACGCTTTCTCTACGTCATACCTTTTATCTGATTGGTCAGGTCAGTTATCCCGGGAAAATTGGCGATTCGCGAATTCCTTTGAAAATGGCCATAAATTGAAGTATTTTTTTCAATATTTCATATACATGTGATCTGAAAGACGCAAAAGCTGTGTATATGCCTGCAGCCAGAATATATAGTTGAAATTAACTAGTACTTGAACATTTTTTCTGATTGCTTAAAATTGAATATTTTTTCAAAAAAAAAACAAACTTTTGAATTAGCAACTCAAAACAAATATCACTAACACTAGAAATCATTGCTTAATCAAAAATACTTTATGCTCCGGAAAGGAGGAGGATTGATTCAACGGGATATTATTTTCCTCTTCATTTGTACGAAAATTTCAAATAATTTTGAAATATGTGGCCCCAGGGTCAGTGGTTCCTTTGGGGTGGGGTGCAAAACTGGTTTGAAGTTGAAGTCTATTTTCTCTTGGTTACTCTGTTCTACCTCTGGGTATTAAGTAAATAGAGTAAGCATGCTAAGTTTATAATTATGATAAGCAATGGTGCCCCTTTTAAAATTCTGAATTTCATTGCCTCTGGTTTAAAACACGAACCAAATTCAATTGTTGGAAAGTTGTTACATGATACTCAGGTGACCTATAAGGCCCGTGGGCCTCTTGTTTTTTTATTTCTTTTCTAGATATTTCATTCTTTTTTTTTTTTTTTTTTGCTTGATTAAGTTTTAACGCAACGATTGATTTCGATTATTATACACTTTTTAACAAGTGGACGAGACCCACCCCAACCCACCGGCTGTATATTAAAATTTAATTTCCTTTGATTTGTTCAAATCATGACCCCCGGGGGTAGGACGGGGCCACAATGACCGATCAAAGTTTTACATAGGAATATATAGAAAAAACCTTTAAAAAATCTTCAAGCCCCGTGGGGATCCGCGTTAGAATAGGTCCTCAGTACCCCCTTGCTTGTCGTAAAAGGCGACTAAATGGGGCGGTCGGATGAGACCGTATAAACCTAGGCCCCGTGTCACAGCAGGTGTGGCACGATAAAGATCCCTCCCTGCTCAAAGGCCCTGAGTGCCGAGCATAGGCCTAAATTTGCAGCCCTTCACCGGCAATGGTGACGTCTCCATATCAGTGAAATATTCTGGAGAGGGACGTTAAACAGTATACAATCAATCAATCAATCTTCTCCAGAACCATTGGGCCAGGAAAGATGAAAGTCATGTGGAAGCATCCTCAGGTAATGTAGATTCAAGTTTGTTCAAATTCCCCGGGGATAGGGCGGGGCCACAATGGCTGATCAAAGTTTTACATAGGAATATATAGGAAAAATCTTCTCAGGAACCATTGGACCAGGAAAGATGAAACTCGTGTGGAAGCATCCTCAGGTAGTGTTTTATTCAATTTATTCAAATCATGACCCCCCAGGGGTAGGGCGGGGACATAGTTGATCAAAATTTTTCATAAGAATATGTAGGGAAAATCTTTTAAAAATTTTCTTCTCCAAAACTAAAGAAATTCATGTGGAAGCATCCTCTGGTAGTATAGATTCAAGTTTGTTCAAATCATGACTCCCAGGGTTAGAGTGTGGTCACAATGGGAGATCGAGTAATATGTAGGGAAATTCTTTTAAAAAAATCTTCTTTTCAAGTATGGCAAAATTATACTTGCCTTGTACATATTGTATGCTTTATTGATACAGTGACATTCTCAAGTAATACACAATTCAAATCCCCCTCCCCCAACAAGTCAGCTTTTCAATACGAAGCTGATTTGTGTTTTTTAACTAGCCCATGTGTTCAGGTGAGCGATGTGGCCCATGGGTCTCTTGTTTCCAGCACCTGTGCTCAGGTGAGCGATTAGACCCATGGGCCTCTTGTTGGATTAACTATTAGTTTTATACCAAAACTCGGAATCTGAAGACTGTACATATGACATATGTTTAAAATCCTTGAGGATTATCCGAGGGGCACCGAATGAACTCTTTGGGTCTCTGCCCCTTGTAGACTCGAAAGGATGCCGCCATTTTATACTGGGCGGGTCTGTCAGTATCATTTCGTTATTCTGTGAACTCAATTGAGAGATTTCAACCCTCGCCATAATTATAAGCTGCAATACGGGGGCATCAGTGTTTCACTAACACCTCATTCATAATAAAGCAGGGACAGTTACGTTTTATGGTCAGTTTCATGATAGTTAATTTGACCATTATTGTAAGCGGAACTTACGTACTTTCAGGAACACTTTTTGTGCTTTGAATTAATGAAAATCATATTAAGCATGAAAAATGTGGAAGATGCCAAAGTTAACAAAAGAGGAGATTGGTGAACATAACGAGAGATAAGCTTGTAGCGCAACAAACATGAAGGTGAAAAAATAAATCTCAATTATATCAAAATTTTCTCAATATTTCATCTAACATTAAGTATACATTACGTAAAATCTCTACAACTTACACAAATCTCATGAAGATTGAAGTTATTTGCCTATGAAATATTTTACACACACGAAAGAGGGCAAAATGAGTCATTTTTTCAATCTATAACACAATTTTACGTTATGATTGAGTGGGTCTTCACTCCATTTTTTTGAAAGTTAAGCCTAAGTATACTCCTATAGGGCCTATACACGTGTTCGTGCCTCCGACAACCTAAATCTAGGTCACATATATAATTAAAGTTAACAAGATTGCTTTGATCATAATATAAAATTCCTTTGTTGTTTATTTCATAAATGTTGATATTTGACTACAGTAACTAAATAATCATTTATTTGTTTCGTGTTTGTATGGGACTATTTTTTTATAGTAAAATTTGACGTCATGGAGCGGGGCAATGGAAAATAACATGGAATGCATTTCAAATCTACCTATATTAGACGGTATTTCGATTTATTTTTAGATAGTTATTTCGAGTAAAAATGGAAATATAAGGAATCACTGTCTAGTTCGGAGACTATGCCAGGGACATAAATAATAGTGGGAAACATGGGATTATTTTAGCATAACGGGCGAAGCCCGTTATGCAAATTATCCCATGTCTCCCACTATTGTTGATGCCCTGGCATAGTCTCCTAACTAGAAAGTGATTCCTTAAATATGTAAAAGAAAATAATCATAATTTAGGGACTATGTACGAAAGCCCAGAAGGCTCATTCGAGATTCAAGTTTCGAAATACGAGATTCAAAATTCGAGATTCGAAATTCGAGTTTCGAAATTCAAGATCCAAACTAACCAATCAGAGCGGGTTCAACTTTTGATTACTTCCCTTTGTTTCGTTTTTACTATCACGAAATCGTTCAATATATTTATAACAAATGGATCATTTGCTAAAATGATAATGCAAGAAAAAATGTTTTATGTATTAAAACGAAATAAACATAAAATTTGGATTACATTTTGAAAAATACATATATAATCTTATTTTTCTAATTTAACAAAATAGTAAATACGTATATATGCATTATATGGAATATTATATGGTCTTATCGTTGACTTGCTGAATAAGTAGGTCAACTAATTTTAATTCATCAGATCATTGCTGATGGAGAATGTTGCATTTAATTATAATTAGACATGAAATATTATGAATCGTACCTACACTGCACAATGATTTAAGGGTATATATAAAGGGTACATTTGTGCAGTGAGACTTGACTGCTGAATCGAACTGTAGCGTTATATAAGGTTTTATATATTTTAGTCTTTGGTCATAAAGCTATGGCCAGAGACTAAAATATAACACCATAACGCTATATAGTTCTGCATCTAATTTAGACTCATCTACTATTTGATATAAGATAAAATAAATGCCTCATTTATTAATTCATATCGCTAAGCTGTATTGTAGATATAATTTTTAATTAGTTCAAGAAATCAAAGCCTTAGATGAAAATAAGTAATTAAACACTTAATTTTTATGTATTTCCTCTATCAGGAAAACGAATGCGATTTTTCTTTATCAATACTACGTCGTCTTTCAAGTTTCAAGCCTTTCAGTGTGTTGGGAAAAAAATGGGCAGGCGGGGTGGGTAGGGGTGGGGTTATTGTTAACCTTTAGACACTTGCCACGTATTCATTTATAACATTATTTATATGTCATCAACCCCGTAAACAAAGTAGACTATACAAAAATATATAATTATATTCCTGATATATATATTCTATTTAATATTTAAGAAGCTATTAATATAAATTTAAGTATATCTTGCTGATAAAAAATCCAATAATTATTTAAATTTCCTTCTTATATAAATAACACTCTTTCTTGTATTGTAATTTTATTAAATGACTTATTTGTTATTTATATATTAAACGATTTCTTGATAGTAAAATCATAATAAAGGGGAGTAATCAAATGTTGAACCCGCTTCTGATTGGTTAATCTGGATCTTGAATCTCGAAATTCGAATCTCGTATTTCGAACCTTGAATCTCGAGTGAGCCTTTTGGGAGCTTTTGATTGGTTAATCTGGATCTTGAATCGCGAAACTTGAATTTCGAATCTCGTATTTCGAACCTTGAATCTCGAATGAGCCTTCTGGGCTTTCGTAGACTATGCCTATTTACTTACTCAGTCTGTTAAGAGTGAGAATCTGCAGGAACTACAATACCGTATACTACACTTGACCCAAAGTTTGCATACAAATAAAGTATACATATTTTGGTTTCCAAAATTATGGAGCAAAGTGGGTATATCTGAAAAATATAATTTTATGAAATAACTTTCGTATCTTTTCAGTAAGTCAATGGTTTAAATACCACTTTTCATCAGGACTAGTGTAGTGTTTAGTGGTTAGCGTGGAAGTCTCGGTAGAGAATTCTACTCAAGATTTTTATTGCTAGGGTTCGAATCCAATGGATACCACATTATTTTCTTATAAAAAAAGATTAAATTTTAACGAAAATTTTCCTCAGAATTTTTTGTTTGTCATGATTTTATAAATATCAATAATGAG